GGGTGTTTCAAGGGCGCCCGCGCGGCTACCTTCCTTCCTGGGTCTGTTGTCGCGTAGGCCGGGAGCTCACGCGCACGCCGCCGGTGATCGCAGGCAGGCAGGCAGGCAGGCAGCTGAAAAAAAAAACCCCTCTGGGGTCTTTGGGGCCTTCCTGTTCTGTTGTCGCGCAGGCCGGGAGCTCGCGCGCACGCCGCCGGTGATCGCCTAGTCTGTATTTTTGAATGTCTGTTTCTGGCACCTCTAGAATGTTTTATTGATCAATTTGCATATGCCTGGTCTAATACCTCATTGTAGTCATTTTCAAAACTTCATTTTAAGTCTTGATGCTTGCTTGGGTAGGCCTCTTACTCGTTGTTCTTAGCTCTTCAAATGTCCATATAAATTTTAAAATGAGTTTGTATTTAGCAAATTGTTGGGTCTTATTTCTTGATCTGTTGTACCAGTCTATTTCTTTTGATTAATGAATTGAGACCATTTACATTGTTCGTTATAACTGATATATATTGGCTAATCTTTGTCATAATACTTCCTTGTTGTTGATTCCCTATATTTCTCCTCCATTTAATTGCTTGCCTTGCCTGGTGGCTTCTTTCTGTTGGTGTTCTTGGAATTGTGGTCTTTATTATCTCTTTCTAAAACATTCTTCAGAACATTTTGTAGAGTTCATTTAGTGGTAATGAGTTTCTTCAATTGTTGTTTGTCATAGAAGTATCTTTATTTCTCCTTTGATTCTGCAGGATAATTTTGCAGGGTACATCAATCTGGGTTGGAAGTTATTTTCTTTCAGAACTTGAAATACTACAAGTTTTCCTTGACTTAAGCGTTGTTACAGTTTGGGTTTAGATGTCCCCCTAAAGCCTCATGTGGATAACTACCTATTTCAGAGATAGTTGAATTTGGAATGTTTTATGCTGGGGTTAAAGTCATGTAATTACTAAACCACTACATGTGAGTGATTAGTTTGTCAGTGCCCCAAATAGTCTGAATAATATAAAAGAGACAGAAAGACATTGATAAAGTCTCTCTCTTGCTACCTCTGCTACCTTGTGTGCACCATGTTGTTTCTCCTCTGCAGTGCCTCTTTGCCATCCTTGCCTTGGAGCCAGCTGATTATGGACTGAAACCTCTATGAACTGTGAGCTAAATAAATCCTTTCCCCTCTAATTTGGGGTGTCAAGTATTTTGTGTCATCAGTGAGATGACACAAGGGTTTATGTTGAAAGTCTGCAGTGATTCTAATGGTCTTTCCTTTTGTAAGTCATTGGTTTCTTTTCTTGAAAAGCTTTTAATATTCTATTCTTTTGCTAAATTTCTAGACTCTTATATACTTCGGTGTAGATTTGTTTTGGTAGTAGCTAATTGATATTTTATATGCCTTGCTTATTTGTATGCCAAATTCTTTTTCTGTGCTTGGGAGCTTTCCTGCCATTACTTCTGTGAATATGTTTTTTATGTCATTTGTACTGGTTCCTGGTTTTTCATTTACTCCAATCAATCTTATTCTTTTTTACATTGTCTTGGAGATGTTCATTGATTTTTCATGGTCCCTTGCGATTTTTAAGAGATCTTTCTTTTCATTTTCACTAACTGCAGTACTATCTTCTAGGTCTGATAGCCTGTTCTTGTTTTTGTTCATCCTGCTTTATAAACTTTCAGTGGAATTTTTAATTTCCTGGGCATGTTTGAATTTGGATTCCATTTATTTCCTATGTTGGGCATTTATGGTTTCCATTGTTTTCCTAAGTTCTTCTGTTTTTTTTAATTCATGTCTACTCTAGATTCACCGAGCAACTCTTTCATTATGCTCATCATCTCTTTTTTTTAACCTGAGATATTTCTGATTTTATTTTCTCTGTGAACTCCTTCATCTATTTATTTATTTCTGCTGCTGTCATTTCAGAAAATTCTGGTTGCTGGCTCTGATTTCCTCTATCTCATTGTTCCCTGACTTTGTCCTGGGTGCACTAGAGGTCTGGATTTGCAGTTTGCTTCTGTGCCTTGTCATTTTCTATTTTTTAATTTATTTAAATGTTTTCTTTGTCATTGCTTTTAAGCTTCTTATGGAAGGTAGCTTTATCACTAGTATCCAGGCTTCCCTAAGAAATATTTACTCCTCAGAGATGTCTTCTAGGTTTAGCTGGCTCTTGATTTCTTTTTTTCTATCTGAAGATCTTACTTTTCCAAGTCATTAGGGATGAGAAGTTGCTATCTATTTAATGCAGTACCCAGTCATTTGATACTAGTCTATGGTGATGATTATAACCCCAATCACAATGTTGACCTGCAAGGGAGAACAACAGATTACAACAGGTATGGTGTCCTTGATAAAGTAGTATAGTTAGCAATAACAATAGAATAAAGCACAGCCTAGAAACTGTCAAACTGTGATAACTATTAATTTGGTATCCTTTAACCATAAGAGCCAGATCTATAGTTTCATTACAAAATCCATTGTAAACCAGTACTCATATTGCAGTGAATTTCCCCTTGGTAGAGTGATTTTACCCTCTGAGGAGGAAATTTAAGAGGGTAAGGGACAAAACAGAGAGATAACTGAAGAGAAAAAGTGAGGCTGAAGGAAAAAGGGGTCACTGAAGCTTTGTGAAACTGGAGGAGAGCACAGGAGAGAAAGAATGAAGGAGAAAGCAGAAGGATATAGAAGCAAACCAGAATGACTAGAGACAGTGTTCACTCATGTATAGATAACAGAAATCAAGAGAGTGTTAAGGAGATACTGAATGGGCAAAAACTAAAGAAACAATAAAAGTATAAACAAAAAAACCCACGGATAAAGAAAAAGTAAATAAAGAGGAAAAAAATTCCTCTGGTCCCCACAGTTCAAAGACCACTTCTGTGCGGGTTCACCCCACCAAATCTGCAGTGGGATTAGTTGCTGGGTACAGGACTCATCTTGGCCTCTGTTTGTGGTAGGGGAGCCAGGGCCAGTCTTTTACCAGCAGCTTTCTGGATATCCCTTGGTGACCCACCCACTTCTCCTTAACACCGCATTTGTCTTTGCATCACACTCCCCATTGTGGCACCCTCAGACAGTGGCAGGCTGAGGATTCTCCCAGTCTGGTATACAGTTGGCCCTTCCCGGACTTTGCACAGCCTCTTCTGTATCACTTTGTAGCTTCCTCTTACAACGCTAGTTGGGGGGAAGTGCTGGTTTCACGTCCCAGTTGTTGACCCACCTGTCCAAGGATGCTTGAATTCCACCTCTGCAATCCATGACCCTTGCCCTTCTCTTGTACACGCTGATTGCTAGGCAGGAGGGGTCATGTTGTTGCACTAACTCATTACTCTCACCACTGCCACTGAGGTCCCTAACCTTGTGGATAGAGTTTTCAGTTAACCCTTGTGGTGCACAAACAACAACAACAACAACAACAAAACCAACCTGGCTTTGCCAGTGAAATTTGTTGCTATGCTGCTACATCCTCAGTTTGCAGGAAGGCAAGAGGGCAAAGGGCCTTATATCTCAAATCTGTCTTTGTTGATTGATTTTACCACAGAATTGAAGTATGTCATGTTTTGGAGGAAGAGGCTCCCCAGGTATGGTGATTCCTGCTCCGTGCACAGGCAGGAAACCCACAGTCAGCCCTGTGGGCTGGATAATTTTGCTTTATAAAGTCCTATGCCTATGTTTTGTTTGATCCCCAAGGCTCTTATTTCAGATTGATTTTGCTATCAGGATGTATATCTGTCCCTTTCTTCCAGTTACCTGTACTTTTAATTGGTTTTCTCTTGAGTAGTTCCAATGCAGCTCCCCCTAGTATCTGTTTCTTACAAAAGCTCCAAGCACCTCCCAGATTCCTGTCTGCCTTGCTGTTACTTGCATGGTTTCATTTCCTCTGGTCCTACACCTTCCATCTTCTTGTGATCCTAGATCACTTTTATGTAGTATCTAGATGTTGGTAGCAAAAGGCTTGTTGGGTGACCTGGTGTACCATCTTACTAGAAGTATATACAAGTACAGACTCTGGCTAGTGCATAGACAAATTTATTCAGATTAACGTTTGTCACTGTATCCCTTATATATCTTAATTATATTTGTGCTTCACTTTTGAATTTAAATGGAACTTCATTAATAATATAAACTATTAACTTTTTACAAATCTTTTTAAGATGTCAGATCAAGTATTTTAAAATTAATATAATGGCTTTAATGTCTTAGGCACTTTCAGGTTATTTATCCTTTATTTCAAATGGTTTTGAAAACTTGATTTAAACTAAGTATTTTTAGATTGGAATACTAGATTGGAATACTAGAACAATATCCTTTTCCTTAATAAGATAAAAACAGTAATTTTAGTCATTGTGGAATATCTGAAACCAACCACATAATATTTAGAAGAGAAATAGCAATGCTAAGGAATCTTTGTACTACCTATGTAATCTTTTAAAGCTTTTCTGTCAGAAGGAAGAGGAGAAAAAATGTGAGAAATTGTTATAATTTTTGTTTTTACTTCTAATATACCAGTATGAATGTCTCGTGTGCATGTTTGTTTACAGTACCATTAATGTAGTCAGTGCCTGTCTTTGTTCCATTGTTTTTAATGTGTTTATTTTCTGAATGAGAAGTAATTAGAGTATCTAGCTATGATTTTACAATTTGATCTGTCTTTTATTTGACAGGTGGCAATTTATACCATACTGATGTCTCACTCTTGGGAGAACCAACCGAATTTGAATATTTACGAAAAGTGCTCTTTGAATATATGATGGGTCGTGAGACTAAGGTATAAATCATGCTTGATGATTTAGTACAAGGCTCAATTTAAAAGGAAATTTATCCCACTTGTAATATACAAATACGTTTATTAGGAGATCATACATGCTAATAGTAGGCAGTAGATGATTGTTACTACTCTTTTGTTTTTTTTTTTGTTTTTTTTTTTTTGTTT